CCCACCCCCACCCGGGTCAACCCCAGAGCGGTACCCTCCGCCGGTCCTCCACTCCCTGACGGCGGCCATCGCGGGAGGGAAGTCCTTGTCCATGGCAGCGACTTACTACGATGCGGAGCGGAGGTCGATAGTTGGAGAGAGAGTGGATAGAGATAGAGGAAGGCGAAGAAGAGATGTTGAGGTAACTTACCGGCGGTCGGCAGGCCATTGAAGCCGTGGGGCGTCCAGCCGCAGATCGTGTCGCTCGGAGCCGCCGGAACTTGCGTTAAGTTACAGCTCCGCGGAGGGTCGCCCGGGCCCTCCCACGCACCTGCAACGGAACATGCCGCGTATAGTCTGTACTCCTATAACGACGAGAATAAAATTGTCGGTTTTCCGATCGTCCCCGACGATGCATTTCGTCGTGCACTCACTTCTGCACGTCGGGGTGGTGCCGTTCCAGCGCCGGCCGTTGCACACGTTCACCTGGTGCCCGTGCAGCCGGTAGCCCGGCCCGCACCAGAAGCGCGCCACGCTCGCGCCCTTCTTGTTGTTGTTCCTCCTGCCGAGCTTTTTCTTGCCGACGTTTGGGCATCGCGGCGGCTCTGTAAGAAATAGGGGTTCCGCGCCGCTACGTCAGAGCTGGGAGCGACCAGCCAGTCGGCGAACAGCTCAACATCGGACTCAGGGCACTTCTCATGCAGCCCACGTGACACACTCTTGATAGTAAATATGCTAATTTTTTTAAAAAAAATAATTTTGATGAAATTTTTAGGAAATTTGTTTCTTTTGAATAAACTTTACTGTTGTTGCTTTTTTGAGCAAACATTTTTTTCGGACATGTTGTACGAAATTTTTCAACCATTCATTGACAAAATTGCATTCTTTGTACATCACCACTCGTTACGACTCACTCACGCAGGCGGACTGCGCGTCGCTGTAGCGCTGCTCGTCGACGCACACCTGCGTCCTCTCGGCGAACAGGCGGTAGCAGGTCTCCTCCCGCCGGGGCGCGCCACCGAAGGGCCGCACGTTACCGTTGGCCACCTGCACCTGGGGGCACTTCTCGGCGGGGACTGCGGACACCACAAGAGCAGGGGCCGGTGGTCAGACAACATGCACGCGAGCACGTCGTCGTGTCGTGTGTACTACTCGTTACTCACTCGAGGATGGCCTGGCTGGCGCCACGACGACGAGCAGCAGCAGCGGCAGCAGCATAGTGCTCGTGGTGGAGGGCAGCAGCTTGCGGTGCTAGTTTTTCACCACCGGTCCTATATCTCCGTCTCCCTCACTCGCTCTTTCTCCCTCTCAAACACACGGCGCTCACTGTCCCTCTCAAACACACGGCGCTCGATCACTCGTCACTCATTATTGAACAGCCGCCAAAATGGTGGGAATAGTCGCTCCAAACACATCCCATTCAGCAGTATGTCTGTCCGGCGGCCGCACGGGGTCGCGGGGTCAACAAGAAGGCCGCCCTTCTCTTTCTCCAGCGGCTCGGCTCGGCTCGGCCCGGGACGGACGGCTCGCACTTGCCCCACAAGGCGCGCACACAATACTGATTATTTCTACCCTTTTAGCCGGCCCGGCGGGCTGGCGGGCTGCTCCAGAGCTGCTCTGCATGCCCACGCCGGCCCGGCCGGGCCCCGCCGGCCGCACTGCACTCGCACTCCCTCCCTCCCCTTTCTCTCCGTCCAGTCCGCCCCTTGCATCGCGCGGCCCGGTCTTGTCCAGCACAGCGTTGGTTTTCTGAGCATTCTGACGTTCAGACGTTGGTTTGATTCGGAATTGCTCGTGATAAACGTGACTCCGGCTGAGCGTAGGCCCAACCTGGGACCACTGCATTTGCGCCTGTTCCTTCAGCAGAAGAATATGATTACTATGCTAGAGCTCGCCCTTATGGAGTTTTTCAGGAAGCTGAGAACTTGTGTCCAGCTTACAGCTATGACAATCGTCAGGCCCAACTGAAAGACGAACATCGAGGAGAGGTGGTATACGAATGGCACGAGTAATAGGTGATGGGCGTGAGGGGGGGGGGGGGGGGCCTCCACCACCAGGACGCGGGCACAGTGCTCAAGCTGGTGCTGGTGCTGGTGCTAGTGCTAGTGCTAGTGCTAGTGCTAGTGCTAGTGCTAGTGCTAGTGCTAGTGCTAGTGCTAGTGCTAGTGCTAGTGCTAGTGCTAGTGCTGGTACTGGTGCTGGTGCTGGTGCTGGTGCTGGTGCTGGTGCTGGTGCTGGTGGTGCGGAAGGGAGACAGGGGAGGGGGGG